AATCTCCCCAGATATCCGATAGGAAAGCAAATGTCCGGCCTTGTGGACATCTTCACGTACATCAACCTTCCCAATAATTCACGGTACGGTTCTTGAACACCTTCGACCACTTGACGATCCAATTTCAATCCTTTCTCCATTGGCGTCCTTGTTGCATTGCACTCCGCCATGCCGAACTTCTGCAAGATCTTTTCCAGGCTGGTTTCTTGAGACAGCATCATTCTACCATTTTGTTGATCGTACCGTATCTTCATCCCAAGAAAGTGAGTCAACTCTCCACAATCGGTCATTTCAAACATCGCCGACAGTTTGCGTTTCAGCTTCACTATGGTGGTCAGCTGCATACCTGCTATCAGGAGATCATCGACATATGTACAGCACGATGAAAACAACGTCTTTCCCCCTCTTGTTGATACGGGTGTATAGGCATTAGTCGTGCTTGGAACGTGTGAAACCTAGCTTCAGCAGCGCTTGATTGAATTTTTCGTTTCAACAACAAGGAGACTGCTTCAGACCATACAACGATTTCTGTAGCTGGCACTCCAGCCCAGGGTCGCCATCCGGAACAGCCATGAAGATTCTCTCTTGTAGCTCACCATGAAGGAATGCCGTCTTGACGTCTATCTGATGGAACTGGAATCCCCTTTGTACGCCTACGACCAGCACAATTCGAATCGTCGTCAACTTCGCAACGGGCGCATATGTTTCATTGTAGCCCAGGCCAGTCTTCTGCAAGAAACCTTTGGCTACCAGTCTTGCCTTGCATCGCACATGGTTTCCTTCTTCATTTGACTTCACTTTGACTGCAAGGGCTTGACACCGGCAGGGCATCCCACTTCTCGAAGTTCGTTCCATTCAACTGCGGAATTCCGGAGCCTTCCTTCGTAGACGAGCCCATAACCTAACTATGTGGACAGGACGGGGCAATAATGAACAGGCCGAGACTTAACGAACAAAGGAATGTTTTATTAAAGCAAACTTGAATTGCTCACATCGAGCTCTTGGATTGGAATGACAGCGAAAAATAACAGGAGTGACCAGGTCAGGTAATCCAACGACTACTTTGATTTCAAATTCTGAGTGGAATTTAGACTGAATTCCGATGATAATTTCATGGGAATTTCAGAAAATGTTTAGTGAATGCTGAGGAAAGTTTATTTCAGGAGAATTATTTGGGAATTCCTAGGTAATACAGCGAACCTAATTAAGAATACTAAAGGAACTGTAGGGTGAATCAAAGAGCCTTATGGAGGTTATTTCTAGTGCATGGAACCAATTGTAAGGGAATATCAGAGAGAGCTTTAAGACAAACTCTGAGGAATTGGGATCATAAATTTAGGAGAAAATCCTAATGAAATCCTGTGATGAACTCCAAGAGTATCAAGTATTTCAATCGTAGAATTTTTCACGAGAGCACAGAATAAGAATCATGGTAACTTATTTTATTTAATACATCATGCTTTTAAAATTTCTATCAATTCTGGATTTAGAAAAATAAAATCTCCAAGATTAGTTTGGGGGGGGGGGGGGGGGCATTCAGGGCCTATAAAATGTAAGTCTTCAGACCAATATTCCAGGCTTGGTAAAAACTAAAAGAAATATTCGATGGACGATTTCAATGATCAAAATATCAAATGAAAGGTTCAGTTTTAACTGCTGCAATGATCCATTCCGAAAAGCGTTCTAAAGGAATTCTCCGGAATTTGGCCGTAGCGACCTATTCCGGGGGCACCATATAGCTACTGCGATCCAGAAAAGATCATATGGCATCTTCTGGATTGCTCACAAAATTCTGAAAACAATGATATGTCACTCAATAGGTTTCGGTTGTAGTAAAAAATTAGCCAGTTTCCCTCGACCTTCCATAATCCGGGGCCGTCAGATTACCAATGTGATCCGGAAATGATAATATGGCCTCTTCTGGATTGCCCACAAGTGGCTGAGATGAATGATATGTCGCTCCATAAATAATTGAACTCAGAGCTTCCGGAACCTACTTTGGAACTTGCTCACAAAATTCTGAGAACATTGATATGCCGTACGATAGGTTTCTGATGTAGTGAAAAATTGGCCAATGCCCTCAGGGTTCCACCACATGGCCAAAGTGTCGCAGTATGATGTCATGAACATGAATGATTAGTCGTTCATCCATATGAAGCACACACTTAGTTTTTTCTACCGAGCTTGGCTGTGCAAATCTCGGCAATAAAAGTTTTACTGAGATTTCAGCAAACATTTCATTTGTTTGTTGAGATTCAGCTAAACATTATCCGAGAGTCAGCAATCAAATGTCACTTTTGCTGAGATCTCAGTTAAATTTTTTTTTTGCCGAGATTTGCACAGCCGAGCTCGGTAGAAAAAACTAAGTCTGCAGATTGAAAATTAGTTACGTCGTCGAGAACGAGCCATTAAAGATAATCAAAATCAGTCCCGGTCGATTAAGGATTAAACAAATTCTTGGGAGAATTATTAAGGATAAGAAGTGAATGGTGGGAGAAACCTAAGAATGTTTTAGACGGATTCTGAAACGCGCTCCGAGCGAATTTTTGAATGATTTTTAAGTAATGCTTGAGACTATTCTATTCTGTGAACTTGAAATTAAATTATCAATGCACTGAATTTTATTCATGATTCCGTACACAAAAGATAATGATTCAGAATTTATAATTTGGAAATGTTTTAGCTCCCCGTTTATTGAAAGTATGAACAAGTCTGAGATTTAAACTTATTCGAATTTCTTAATATAAAAAAAAATGTCTTAAACACGTATTTATTTTACAATACGCTGCACACTGACCTTTCTAGAGCTTTAAGTTTTTCTCCGAAGTGAACCAACCCTTCGCCTCTACCACGCTAATATCTTGTGGGTCTACATATTTATTCCCTCCTAATTTTCATTCCTGGATCACTGTGCAGTGGGCAGGCTTGAACATACTCATTACAGCTTGGTTACTAATTTGCGAAATTAGGAAATGTTCAGGCCTGTCAGTGGCCATTTAACTATCCTTCAAATGTACGAAAAAGGCACAACAATAACAAAACCTTACGAAATCAATCACAACAATCCAAACCTTAACTCCTTCCTTGTCTCAGAAAAGTCGGATAGTCTACAAGTTGGCATCGTCTGGTTCAAGTCACGCACTACTTTGCCCCATAAATACACAGTCAGCGTCTGTTTGTCTAAAGTAAACAACGGCGCAATCAACAGACACGAACGTTTTAGCTTTCTCAATGTTCCTTCCCGTCGAATTTCACAGTCTACCGGAACCGGAAGTCTAGGATTTTTTTTGTTTCGCGTAGCCTTATAGCCTCTCCCGGGGGAATCTGTACCATCTAGAAGATCCACTTTAAAAGTTAACCTCACGTGAACACAGCTTTCAGAAAATCACGAAACTTTTCCCTCCTTTTAACCAATCGATAACCAATTCACTAGTTGTTTTCGAAAGAGAGAGAGGGTGTTGAAGGTGGTTCAATTAATTCCACTCACGTCGAAATTCTCTCAAGGCTGGGTGAAAAAGTTTTCGGGTTCATCGATCGGATATGCCAATCGGAAGTTATTCCTCAAATGGGCTCGACGTGAAGGCGCGAAGAATTTCGGCCTATTTTTTTCAGAACCTAAATTGAATTCTGCAATGCATTCTCTCCGCCTGTCTCGATACGTGCTAAAGCTAGGTACATACTGCCATCAGCGCCGACGACGACGCCACGCCACCAACCGAGTTAATGTTATTGATATTAATTAACATTTATTACTGTTTGCATAATAATTTCTAATTAAAAAGCAGCTCTCTTCGGAAGGAGGTTTGTTCTCATATGTGTTTGTGTTCGAACGCGTGTATATCCTGCAACATACCGACCACTTGAGAAAAGGAACCCGACGAAGAAAGTTTGTCTGCACGAAGCAAAAATTAACATAAATATGCGAAACGTCATAAATATGTTTGGATTCATCGTGCTTCCTCCGTGTCGATGGCAAACAAGGAGCTGAGGAGGGGGTTGGGTTATTTTACCCCCACGCCACGCATTTTCGGAGAGCATGTAGGACTTTGAAAGATAATCAAAAGGATGGAAGTTTCATTCAAGGACGATATGCAGGCAAGTCGATTTGCTCGTTAAAGCTCGCAAAGGTTTGGATATGTTTGGCACATATGAGATCCTGAATGTTCAGTTGGATTGTTTAGTGAACAAAACGAACAAGTGAACAAGTCAATTTTTCGTTTACGAAAGTACACCATGATTAAAAATCATGAAATCGTGAACATTGTTCATCTGAGAAAACGGGAACATGGTTCATGGACTCTAAAATGTCAACATTGAAATAATTTTACATATTTTAAATGAAGTGAGGATTTGGAAGGAAACAACGGCAGACTTGATGCAGGTTTCACCCACACCCAAGGGGTTGGTCACGTTGCACAGTGAGCTAAAAACAAGCTAGGGCACACCTGGGCACAGCAATTGGCACTGTTTGGCACCCATGGTTAAAAAATTTCTAATCTTGTCTTATTTCTGAATCTCCACCAAGTCTCGCCATGGATTCTACTAAATCGAATTGTCAGCGCACATCCTGATGCCTGTCTGAAGAACTACGTACATCAGGGATCAGGAAATCAGGGCAATCGCTTGCATAGCAACACTCCGTTATCAAAATCGTTACACCGGTGACGGCACAATTCCTCCCAGACAAACACGAACTAGCGATGCAGCTCCCACGGCTGCGGCTGCTTCTAATGCTGCTGCTGCTGGCCCGTCTTCTGCAACTTCCTTTTGACGAATTTTAGAGGTGACGGACAAGCAGCAGCAACCAAAGCAGCAGTAGCATTGGAAGCAGCCGCAGCCGTGGGAGCTGCATCGCTAATTCATGTAGCCGTGGCTCTAGCAATACACTATTTAGGTATGTCTTGACGGACGTTGGACTGTGCCTTAAATTTAGCTTTGATATTGTTTGAATGTTTTCTCCTTTCAGTAAGTGGATGTTATAAAGATCGATGGACTCCATCTTACATTGGTTCATCGTGTTCGGATTTGAGACAGTCGCCCGTCACCGAAATGGGCGTCACACCACAGGACGCTGCTGCCACGACGGAGGCTGTCGCGGCCGCTGCCGACATTTGGTTGCCAGGTACTGCCCATGCCCATTCGTTGCTCCACGCACCGTTCATCGTCTTGGACGAGGAGAAACACAGCTTCATACACTGCAAATACAATTCACGTAATATTCACCTGAAAAGGTACGTAGATATTTTCCATCATACTTTTCAGGTGAATATTACGTGTTTTGGGAATGAAATGCTGTTTCAAGTGATTCATATGAAAATCAAGTGATTTTCACGTAAATTTTATCGGTCGTTCCGATGATCGTCAAATTAGATTCACTTAAAAGTTACGTGAATTGTTTAGTAATCGTCACTGGATTTTGTAGTAATATTTATGTGAATTTGTGGTATGTTTCATGTGTTTTAATACAGTGGTATTGCATTATTTCATCCGGATTTTTTTTTAAATAAAATTTAACTTATTTGTTCAATTTTTACTTTATTATAATTAACATAAAACTGTTCTTTTTAGTAACTATCATGTGTATTAAACTTATTCTTAATTCTATATCCTGTTGCACTGGTTGTTGTTAAGTTGATTGTTTTGCATTTGTTTGCTCCATAATGCTCTATAAAAATTGCTGCTCCTGAATAAAGCTAAAGTTGGTTATTGGTTTATTTAAAACATTAAGTTTGATCCTTACATTTATTTTCCTCCAACAACCGATGACTTCGAAAAGGACATCATGGCTCCAATAGACGTCTTTTTGTTGTAAGCACTCCTGTAGTTCGGCCATTAAGCTTGTGAGGACTGCTCAATCCGATTTTACACTCTTCAATTTATTTTGGGTATTGAAAATTAGGATTCATATATTGATATTAATCAAACTTACGCTCACAAACATTAAAAATCCCAATCTCCTAGAAACAAAAATCGCATATTTTCATCTGCCGCCATTTTGAACTAACAAATACGCAGACAGTTTTCACATCATGAGGTCACTTAAAATTTACCTGAGCTTCACTTAACATTTATCTGTATAGCACTTGAACTCCATCAGTCAATCTAGTGGAATTCATTACCATGCCATTGATATTTATGTGCAGCATGTAATTCTTATTGGATTTATATTTTTGAAAGGTTACCTGATTTTTCAGGTGAAATTTACGTTTCTCGTTAGTTCATTATAATGAACGGGAATTGTGTGCCTTTGTGATCGATCGCGCTGTGGTTGCACTTCATGATAGCGTTCACCGCCAGGGCTACGCTCAGCGGGAACATTTCACTTGCGACGGGTGGCAGCCCTTGGTGGAGAATGCAGTCAGCAGTAGATCCTCGGATACAACGGGTGCGGTATCGAAGAAGTGGAGAATCTTGCTCGGTGGCAGAATGCAATTTTTGCTGGCCTGGGTCAACGAAAGGAAGCGATTGTTCTTGGAGGCGCCTGTAGTCCTTGAAGTTGATCGAATTGTCCGGCAAGGTGTAGGGGTTGGTGGACTCCGACAAGTAGTTCTGCTTGGAAAATGCAATCTGAATTTTGCTACCATCATTTCCGATTGGAATGTTGTTCAAGTGCTGGGATGCTGCGTTCGACTGGTTCGACTGCGATGGCGTCTCCCATCTGACCCATGGCGGTACCCTCTTTGCTCTTCAGGAACTTTATCCTGACAACATTTCCGTACAGGCAGAACAGATTGAACAACTTTTCAGTGTTGGATGTGTTGTTATCGAGTCCGTAGACCATCATCACTGCGCCCTGTTGCTGCGCCGGTTGAATGAAGTTGGCTGGTCCATTTCGGGTCAGCGGTGCGTCCTTCATCAGTCCGAAGTGTGTTCCGGCCGGTGTTAGTTTGCAGACGGATGATACTCGGGCGGTGAAAAATTCGGTGCAAATCCGCTTTCTCCGCCGGCTCCCAGAAGGGCTGGTTTAGGACCATGGTAGACTAAAGACGGCCGTTGTACGGGGTTGGCTTTCCGCCGAAGATGGTACGATCGTGTAGCAACGGGGCTCGTTCGTTGCAGGGCATCGTTGGAGACGGCTGCTTCCAATGTGTAGTCCCAACTGGAGTCCGTGTCATTTTTGTGAACGTTGAAAACTAAACAAAAAGAAGAGCTGTTAAATACCGGGTTGCCAAACTAGGCATTATTCACAAGCAAACAAAAGTCAGTTCAATGACTTCTCGGCACTGTCGGTACAGCTGCGGCACACTGAGAAAAAAGTTGGCGCAAAATAAGTGTGTAGAGTGGCCGCCCCGTGCCCACTCCCCAAACTGGCAGTAGGCATCTGTCCAGCAGATGAAATTTTTCGATGCAATCGGAGTAAATTTTTACATTATTTGACAAACAAATCTCATGTAATCATGACAGCAGTAGGTCTCTTTTCTTCATTCAAATTGTTTTCAATAATCAAACATCACGGTTACCTGGGTTTTGTCAAATAAGGTAAATACAGTCAACTCTCCGCAACTCGACGTCCACTAACTCGATATCGAGTTATAGAACCATAGTAAACATTAATTTCATGGCTATTGTGATATCGATTTTGTATAGGATTGTTATTCTATACCTCGATAATTCTATAACTCGATGGTCCCTTGAATATCGAGTTGTAGGGAGTTCACTGTATTTCCATTGCTTGCAGCAAGGGAAGGAAACACTTTCAGCACAACAAATTAACACCACCTTAGACTTCGATCGGAGCGGAGGGATCAAGAACAAAAGATGCGTTCGAGGACCCTTTTCTTCGAGGTATACGGCCAGTTTCTCAGCCACTGGCATTGTGTCGGATCACCATTCTGATTATACGGCTCAGCTGTCACTAATAATCAACACACTATCCTAAGCGGATCCCAGCACTCAGAAAGGATAAATTCAACAACAACTGAAAATGACAGCTGAAAATGCATGTGATCCAAGTTTACGATTTCAGGAACGAAACTCACAATTATGGGTTCATGGATCACGAAATCACGATTTTATTTTCAGTAGCGTTACGATGTTACGAATTGTTTCACTGTAGTTTTCTACTATATAATCGCTATTTGTATAGCTAACGAAGTTGTATCTCCACTTATATCCACCGAGGTTTGTTTTTGTTTCTTCCTTTTCCTTCCGTCCGATCGCTGTCAACTAGATCGATCAACGATCTACGCTATGAGTTAGACCGTCACTCTCCACGTACTGTGTGCCTACTGGTTTTCGCCACACCCCCGCCCGCAACTCCGGTTCCGGATTCTCGTCGGAATTGCCGGATTTACTAGGAACCTCGATAACCGCCAAGTTGGCAACAGCCCGTCTGAACACACCTCTAGACGTTCGAACATTGACCTGTCGTACTCTGCCATCATTACCTTTAAACACTTCCTCGACGATCCCTCTGATCCAGTTCTTTCTTCTTGCGCCATCTACGACAAACACTAAATCGCCTACCTGTATCACTTTGCGCTCGTTGATCCATTTTGTCCGCTTGTTTATTGTCGGCAGGTATTCTTTGCACCAGCGCTGCCACATTTGGTCGGCCAAGTACTGCGACCGTTTGTACGCATTCCGCAGAGCTTCCGCAAAGTCCACAGCGCCGTCCACAACCATGTCTGCATCCTTTATAACGCCACGGAGAAAGCGGTTTGGTGTTATCGCTGCAGCTTCTTCAGAATCTTGTGGCAGATAGGTCAAAGGACGAGTGTTTATCATATCCTCTGCCTCAGACAACGAAGTTAGCAAGATTTCATCCGTAAGTTTTCGACCATCATCGAGCGCCTTCAATGCCTCCTTTACCGATCGTACCATACGCTCCCAAATACCACCCATGTGTGGGGTACCTGGGGGAGTGAAGCTCCATTTAAGTTTGGAACTTGTCACGCTTTCTGCACATGCTCGATCGATGTGCCACATCCTTGCCAACTCATTGCTAGCGCCTTTGAAGTTTGTGCCGTTGTCGGAGAATATTTCGTCCGGAGCTCCACGTTTGCAGACAAACCTCCTAACCGACATTAAACACGCCTGAGTGGTCAAACTGTGCACAACTTCTAAGTGCACTGCTCGCACCGCTAGACAGGTGAAGAGCGCTATCCACCTTTTCTCCCACCGTCGGCCCACCAACACTTCTACGGGTCCCAAATAGTCTACGCCAACCGAACTGAACGGACGAAGTTGTGGCGTAATCCGTTGTACCGGTAGCGATGCCATCATGGGAGCTTGCGGCAAACAGCGATTGACGCGGCACCACATGCAACTCTTCACCGCTTGTTGAATAGCCCATCGCAATTTGGGTATGTGGAATCGTTGCCGCAATTCATTACACACGGTCTCACGATTTCCATGGCCGAACTTCTTATGGTAGTACATTATCAGCCTGTTGGTTACCGCATGTCCTTTAGGGAGTATGACCGGATGTTTCATGTCGAATGTGGCAAATTCCGCTTGCTCTATTCTGCCTCCGACACGCATAACTCCTTCGGTATCGAGTACGGGGCTTATCTTGCAGATGGAGCTTGATTTTTCTAATCGTCCCGGAGCTTGTTCCGGTTTCAGCTCTAGGTTTCTCTCAAGGATCCTTTTCTCCTCTGGAAACCCGTCACGTTGAGCCTGCCTCCACAAGATCGTTTCGGCCGCTTGCAACTCGTCCTGTCGAAGAGGTTGCAGGATAGATTTTGGTTTTGCTTTTAACAGACGTTCCTGACCCGGGGTTGCCTTGGACACCAGGATGGGTTGACCAGCTATTTTTCTGCGACAGTTCGCGACGAACCGAATCACCCTGGCTGTACTTCGAAGCAGACGAATCCAACAATACGTTGACTCAATGTTGATCAAAGGAGCACCAAACGCCACTTCATGATGTAGTACACACGTACGCATCTCTTCACTGGTATCAACGGCAGGCAATCCGCTTACTGGCCACAGTTTCTCAGTCTCCAAAAGAAATTGTGGACCGTTGAACCACGCACTGTTCGACGCCAATGGAGGACCCTGTCCCCATTTTGTCAGAACGTCGGCAATATTTATTTTTGTTGACACCCAACGCCAGTCGGATATGTTTGTGTTTTCCCGAATCTCGCCAATGCGAAAAGCCACAAACTGCTTATATTTGAGCTGGTCGGAGCGAATCCAACTGAGTACGGTCTGGGAATCAGTCCATAGGAATTTGTTATTAATAGGGAGGGAATGATGTGACTGGACCGTGCACAACAGCCGTGAACCCAGAACCGCTGCCATCAGTTCAAGGCGCGGGATCGACTGTCGTTTTAACGGCGCTACTTTCGTGCGAGACATCACCAGAGAAGTTTTCACGCTTCCATGCACTACCGTTCTGAAATAGGCCACACATCCATACGCGTGCTCGCTGGCATCCATGAAAATGTGAAGCTGGAGTGATTCGACGGCGGATGAATATACGTCCCCGAGATAACAACGAGGAATACGAATACCTTCTACCTGCGTCAACAGACCCGTCCAACGCTTCCACTTCTTTAACGACTCATCGTCTATTTCGTCATCCCAACCGCAGCCCGTCCGCCACAAATCTTGGATGAGCATTTTGCCGTGTATCGTAAACGGAGCCAGAAGTCCGAGTGGGTCAAAGAACCCCATTACGTAGCTTAGGACCAACCGCTTTGTTGGTCGTTGAGCACCTTCGAAAAACGGTTTTAGCTCTGGACGTCTTGGCTTGGATTCCAAATTATTCCAAGGACTCGCTCGTTCTCCGTTGCTTTTTCGACATTGAACTGAACTGTTTGGGTCGGCTGTGGTTCTCCAAGACACTCAAGTACTTCGGCGGAGTTCGAGACCCAGTTTCTTATCTCGCAGCCCGCATTTGAATGGATGAATCGTACCTCTTTAGCTCGACGTACTGCTTCTTCAATGGTGTTGACACTATCGTAATAGTCATCAACATAGTGTTTTTTGATTATAGCAGCCGCCGCCTCTGGATACTCTGCTGAAAACTCCGACGCGTTGAGATTTTTAACATATTGTGCCGAACATGGGGAGCAGGTTGACCCAAACGTGGCAACATCCATGATGTACACGCTCGGTTCCTCATCCTGTAGATTCTTCCTGAACAGGAATAGCTGCGCTCTCTTGTCGGCCTTGCGGATTTTCATCTGGTGGTACATCTCACGAATGTCTCCCCCGAAAGCAATTCGGTGCTCACGAAAGGGACAAAACACAGCAATCAGTGGTGTCAGCATATCGGGACCTTTGAGCAACTGGCTGTTGAGAGACACACCATTTACTGTTGCTGCAGCGTCCCATACGAGACGGATTTTCCCAGGTTTCTTCGGATTTTGGACGTAATTCAGAGGAAGATACCACCTCTTTTGTGGATCGATTTCCGCCAGCTCCTTCGACGTCGCTAGGTGGGCATAGCCTTTTAGTTGATACTCCTCAATCTGTTGTCGAATCTTCTCGTACAACTCGGGAGTCTTTCCCAAACGCTGCTCCAACTGCTTCAACCTCCTACGGGCCATCGGAAAACTATCCGGAAATGTTGGATCGTCGGTTCTCCAGAGCAGTCCTGTCTCAAAACGATTACCGACACGCATGGTTGTTCGCTCCAAAATCTCCCGAACTCTCTTCTCGTCTTTTGTCTCTTGTACAACCGCCACTATGGATTCTTCCAGAGAGTAGTGGTCTTTCAGCAAATTGTAGATATCTTCGTTGCTAATTTCACGGTGATGTCCGATGATATTTCCACCGCCTGTTCGTCCTGCTGACGGACCATAAATCGACCATCCGAGCTTAGAACGCACAGCTATCGGTTCTCCTATACCCCGGACCTTGGCTTCAATTGGCGCAATGGTGTGAAGATTGTTTAGGCCAATG